ACACATAAGCTCAAAACAAATATACAATCACAAATTGTAATTAAATTCCTGTTACGGGCTGAATTGCATCCTCTGAAATTCATCTGTTGAAGTCCTAACTCAGGACTTCAGAATGTGACTATTTGGAGTTAGGGTCTTTAAAGAGGTAACTAAGTTAAAATGAGGTCATTAGGGTGGGCCTTAATGCCATATGACTGGTGTCCTTATAAAAGGACAGTAGGACATATTTATATAGAAGAAAGACCCTGTGAGGACACAGGGAGACCATGCCACCTGTAAGCCAAGGAGAGAGGCTGCGGAAAAAATCATCCCTGCTGACACCTTCCTCTCGGACTTGTAGCCTACAGGTTTAGAAACTAAATTTCTGTTATTTAAGCCACTCAATCTGGTACTTCATATGTCAGCCCCTGCAGACTAACACAGTCCCTAAAAAAGAATGTTGGAGAGAAAGGTGTCACGAGCGTGGTGAGGGAGCTGGTCAGAGATGACAGCTCTGAGGAAGTGGATATAAACTAAGATATTAAAAGATTAAACATCATGAACTATGCCAGATAAACAGTTTAGTAGGTCCTTTAAACGGCAAAACAAATCAAGGTGCTTTTGCTTTGGTTAATTATTCCACAGTCTATAGAACCAGAGAGTCCTCAGGAGACAGTGAGTCTTTCCAAATTATCCACCTAAGATGAAAAACTAATGTGCATGGAAAAATGCTCAATATCACTACTTATCAGAGAAATGCTAATCAAAACTACAATGAGGTATCACCTCACACCACTCAGAATGGCCGTCATTTGAAAGTCCACAAACGACAAACTCTGGAGAGGGTTGGTGGGAATGTAGTTTGGTGCAGCCGTTACAGAAAACAGTATGGCGATTCCTCAAAAGACTAAAAATAGACTTACCATATGATCCAGCAATCCCATTCCTGGGCATATATCCAGATGGAACTCTAATTTGAAAGGAAACATGCACCCCAGTGTTCATAGCAGCACTATTTACAATAGCCAAGACATGGGGAACAACCTAAATGTCCATCGACAGATGAGCAGGTAAAGAAGCTGTGGTATATACAATGGAATACTACTCAGCCATAAAAAAGAATGAAATAATGCCATTTGCAACAACATGGATGGATCTAGAGATTGTCATACTAAGTGAAGTAAGGCAGGAAGAGAAAGAAAAATACCACATGATATCACTTATATGTGGAATCTAAAGAAATGCTACAAGCTTATTTACAAAACAGAAACAGACTCACAGACATAGAAAACAAACTTATGGTTATCAGGAGAAAAGGGGGGCAGGCTGGAGGGATAAAATGGGAGTTTGGGATTTGCAAATATTAACTACTATATATAAAATAAACAACAAAGTACTACTGTGTAGCATGGGGAACTATATTCAATACCTTATAATGGCCTATAATGAAAAAGAATATGAAAAGGAATATATATATATGTATAACTGAATCACTATGCTGTGAAACTAGCACAACTTGTAAACCGACTATACTTCAATTAAAAAAAAGACCAATAAAAGCTAATATGCAGCCAACTTCATCACAGTCCACAGACTCTGAAGTACTGAATGAGCAAGAAGTTGAATTTTTAACTGTAAGACAGAACATATTTGGTATCATTCACACCTCGATTTAAGGACAAGATATTTCTGAAGAAAATGAATACGATGAAATATGTAACTCAAACACTTCTTAGAAAAAGAATAAAGCAAAGTAATGTCCTTTCTCATGGTTCATTAAAGAAATTATGGAAATTATAGAATCTAAATATGCAAAAACAAAAAAGCCTGGAGCACAGACTCTGATTAGTCAAGGCTAATGCTTCATAGAAGAGCGATATACCTGAATAAATTGATTTGTCCTTGGCAAGCAAGTGTACATCCTCACTTCAAATCAGTGAATAATAAGAATTATAGAATCACAGGATAGGAAAGGGATTATCTTATTTCTTGGTGGGATGCCACATAAATTACTTCTAACATGTGCATATTCAGTTTGTCTTGTGAAAGACCGAATGTACAAACGGACAGTGGCCAGATGAAATGTGACAACAGAACTCAGATCCACAACCTCCAGAGCAAAATGCCCAGAATGGTCAGGACTTGGTCAGTAACTGCCAGCTTCCCTATTTTTCGCACCTGCCTTCAACTCAGGATCAACCAAAGAAAGGCAAATATGTTTCCCAAACTCATCACATAAGATGCTCTGCTTCTAGTTAACCCACCTCCAGCTTGCCCACGCCAACAACCTCTTATCAGAACATATATGAGGCCCTCCTTTTCACTAAAAAGTATCTCCACTCCTGTACCCACTTTTGAGTTATTTCAGATGCATGAGATGGTGGCTGACTCAAGTTCAGAGGAAATAACCTCCATCTGTTCTCATTTGGGTAGCTTTAACTTCTTTCCATATTTGACTGTCCCCAGAGAAACAAACATGTGCTAGGCCCCAGGGCCAACAGCAGAGGAGGGAAACAGAGCCACCTTCAAGCTCCAAAGTGCCCACCTTTGTGCCACTTCGTATTTCCTCTAGAAAAGATGTCAGCAACTGGGAAGTTAACAGCAGCCACTGAATCCCCATAACAACTGTGTCCAGCTGTCAAACGATGGAATAACCCAGCCAACAGAAGTGCAAAGTGGTGATTGTCTCTGTGAAGTTCTAGTCATCTGGCAGCTGGCCAGATGTGCCTCACTATCAACCAATTAACTGTGACACAGGTAAACTGGAGGTCCAGGTGGTTGAACGCATGAGACACAAACTGGTTATAGCATCAGCTCTTATTTACTTTGCAGCTGTTTTAAATCTCATCAATGTTGGCCTTGAGCAGCCCAGACACAGCTTAGACTAAGGAGCGGCACTGCTCTGAAAATAAAATTTAATCTCCAAACAGGGCTCCCACACTAAAGAAATGACCTGGGGCAGGTTACTTGTCCATGTCCTCATCACTAACGTGAAAATTACTAGACCTCAGTGAAATTAAAATTGGATAAGGAGATAGAGTATTTTTAAAGGTACATAAACAGAAGAGCATAAATGCAAGATATTCTAAAGCACAACTGAGTTTTCAGCACAATTAATTTTACCCTGACCCACACATCACTCGGGAAAGATTAGCACATGAGTGGGAGAACGAGGGTGAGTATAATTCACGGGTTGCCTAAGGGAAGAGCGAAATGTGGGGAGAGCCAGTGCTGCCTGACTACTTCCTGGTTCTCCTCTCACTGAAATAAGAATGATAAAGGAGACTGGTAAGGCTCTCACCATAGACAAACATGAATATTCATTTCCTGGAAGCCATTTAAAGTCACTTTGTGAAAAATGGCCTGCGATTCCACTTCGTGATGGTCAGACCGGAGTTCTCATCCCCAGAAACCAGGCTGTATGTTAAGCCCCTTCCAGGTCGGCATCACAGAAAACTCAGTGAGGAAAGCTGCCAGTACTATATCCTGGTTTATGAGACGTGCATTTCAATTACCACTGTTGTTTCACTTCTTTTGGAGATTAGGGTTCTCTTTAATTCGAGAGACATTCTCTGAAGTCTTGACAACAAGATAGATCACTTAGTGCAAAAATCAAAGTTAACAGGAAAATCTAGTTATATCCAATAATTTATATATTAAGTATCATTGAAGCTTTGTTCAGGTTGACTTTTAATAGAGACTCAAGACTGAAAGGAGAACAGGTAATGGATGAATTCCTTTATCACAATGATTCTCAACCCTGACTATGCGTTGAAATCACTTGGAAAAGGTATTTTTTAAATGTCAATGCCTGGATCCCATTACCAGAAATTTAGTTTACTTGGGGTAGGACAAAGGCATGGCATTTTTAAAAGCACCCCAAAAGATTTTAATGATCAAAACACTTCCTCTAGGAGAAGCAACAGGGCCTGGGGAGGTGCCTGTAGACACTGGCTCCCCATAAGAAAGTGGTGGTAAATGACTGGGCAAGACTCCCTGCCCTGAAGGGAAGTTCAAAGTGATACCTGTAGGCCTTGGAGAAGGCGGCTAGCTGGCCACATTAGCAAAAACAACAATCTAGATGGTAAAGTAACAAAGACATACCTACCTCCACCCTCCGCCACCTGGTTAGACTTACTTGCTTTCACAGGAACCTTCGCAGACAAAATTTAGCTCTCTAAAATCCAGCATCTCATTTCTGACTTGGATTCTTTGTTCTTTTTGAGCCACCCCTCTGTTTATTCCCAATCTACCTGTTTGCTTGAGAGCGTCCCCCATACTTCTACTGAACACTCTGTTTTCAGCAAACCATTTTCCTGATTGGTCAAAAGCCCTTTGAAATCTATCTTTCTGTCACATGAGCAACTCCTCAATGAAGTCAATAAAAATATGCCTCACTCCTAACACAGTTCTACTATCCAGTGATCTCTATCTCTGCTTTCTGGCCTCGCAGTCAAAAAGCAAAACGTTTCCTTCCAGATTTCATCAATTTTGGTGTATTTCCTTCCCTGTTTTATATAGATCATATCATTCTCTTTGCTAATAAAGAAATACCAAAATATTTTTATTTAAAAGTCTGCAATCAGAAAATAATCTGTCATATCACATACATTTTTCATGCACAGATATTTACTCATCCATTTTCCTGAAAGAGCCAATAAAATAGCCAAAGAACCATAGCCTATTTTAAATTAAAATGCATGGCTTTAAGGGCTATTTGACATGCAGTAATTATTTGTGTAATCTTCTAGCCAGGCGTAGAAATTGCTGTTTCTGCCCTTGAGGGAAATGAACTGTGCAAAAAATTTCAAGCAAACATAATCCAACTGTTCACACAAAAGAGAGGTTGCATAAGAAATTCATTGTGTCTCTACCCAAATTTCCCCTCGACTTGCCACAGATCAGCATGTACTTCACCTGTCTGGCACCAATTAAAATCATAAATGGATGAGTTTTCAGCAGAGGAGAGCTGACATGCTCTCTCCACAGATGGTCAGCATCACATGTCACAGTAATGGCTGGACATGCCAAGAGGATTCTGTATAAAAACGGAGCAAGTCAGAGCACTTCAGCTCCAACTGTTCTATGTTTAGAACTGCTTCTCTTTCAAGATGGATTTCCTTCATAGGAATGGCGTGCTACTTATTCAGCATTTGCAGAAGGACTACCGAGCTTACTACAATTTTCTAAATTTTATGTCCAATGTTGGAGATCCCCGGAATATATTTTCTATTTATTTTCCACTTTGGTTTCAACTTAATCAGACAGTTGGAACCAAGATGATATGGGTAGCAGTCATTGGGGACTGGTTCAATCTTATTTTTAAATGGTAAGCTTTCTGTTTTACTTCATTTTTCTTAAAGCTTATTCTTAAATTTGTAGCTTTGGCTTAATGATCACATTTCAGGTATGCGTAGTTTTACTTGGAAAATCTTTCAGATGTATCAGTTAACTTGAAACACCTATTCATAAACAGAATTTATAGAAAAGCATGGGAATGTATACTTTATCTGACTTACAAGTAAATTTCAAAAGCCTATGACACCTATTATGTGATTAACCAAAAAGTGAGTTAAATGAACAGCACCATAATGAATAGACTGATAATTCCAGGGACCACTTTGATATTTCCAGTCTAAGTATCCAAAGAACCCAGAGTATTTTCCCCTGCAAGGAAAATAGGAAACTTTTATTGGAAACTAGGATGCCCAAATCCCAAATGACTGTGTCTTCCTTTATAACAAGAGACAGACCAGAACTCAAGTCCTTTCAAGGTCTCTAAATCATGAGTTTCCCCATCAACGCTCTGCTTGAGTCATTTTTATAGGAGAAAATAGCGAGTCTTCAATTATGTAATAGTTGTGTATTTAAATATATATACATTTTTGTATTTCTTTAAATACAGGATATTATTTGGTCATCGGCCTTACTGGTGGGTCCAAGAAACTCAGATTTACCCAAATCACTCAAATCCATGCCTTGAACAATTCCCCACTACTTGTGAAACAGGTCCAGGTAAGCAACTATAGAAGCCTCGGGTTACTAAACATATTCTAACAGAGAACCGTTGTGTATGATTATTGTCTAATAACTGTATGATATTATAGAGGATATTCAGGAAAATGTCCTGGGTGAGGATGCTAAAAGTTCATAAACAGAAAAATTGTTAGTGGATAAGAAAATTTCATTTGTTTCTTTGTAAAGGGGTAAGTTAACAGAATACTCCCCAAGAGATTTTATATTTGGATTTTGGGGAAGACTGTCATGGTTTGATACTACAATAAACAAACAAAAAAAAGTAGCTAGAACAAATTCTCAAAGAACTATATTAAAATCCTAGAAATGTTGTTTTATCTGCTGCTGAGCAACTTTCAAAGTCATTATCTGAGAATCACAAATCACATGAATGAGGAGAGAATAGACAGTTTCTGAAAGAAAGGTAAGGGCTTCTTGGTATTACTATTGCCTGTAGAAATTATCTCTAATTTTAAAATTGTTTCTTTAAAATTTCTTCTTTCTCTTTTTTCTCTATATAAGTATACTTCTTGGACCACTTTCTTTTTTATTATAAGTAAGATTCTGTATGTGTGTAAAATCTTTACTATGGAAACTGAGTTTAAGATTATAAAAAAGGTTTTAAAAGTATATGTATAAAGGTAACTTACATGTTGTTTTAATTTGTAAGACTGTTACTCTGTGCCTCACCACAATTTGTTACATAGCCTAAAATTCTTGGCATTTAACATCCTGAGACTAACCCTGAGTACAGTGAATGTGTATAAGTTCCTAGTAAGTTTTCTGAATATCTTTACTTTTGCTTACATAAAAGTATACATCTGTTGCAGTACCTATCACAGAATACTATAATTAATTCTTTTTATATATTTTAAAAATTGAAGTATAGTCAGTTTACAATGTTGTGTCAATTTCTGGTGTACAGCACAATGCTTCAGTCATATAGGAACATACATATATTTGTTTTAATATTCTTTATCACCATATGTTACTACAAGATATTGAATATAGTTCCCTGTGCTATACAGTATAAACCTGCTGTTTATCTAAATTAATTCCTTAATATCTGACTCCTCCAATAGACTGTATATTCCATCAGGTTAGGGATGGTGTGTATTTCATCTTTGTGAAACCAGAGTGGGATGGATGGATGGATGGATGGATGGATAGATAACCTTTGAGATAATTGAAATGCTACTTTGGTTTATTCTAGCACTTCCCAGCATGTTCTGTCTTATGAGACATTTTCTGAGGAAAAAACAAATTACATTCTACATTCACTCCTTGAAGATTTACAACTCCATAAGCCTATAAAAGGCTCTGAAAATTCTTCTATAAGAAGTAGATTTGAAAGAAATAGAGCTGTAAGAAATAGATTTGTCTTTGTTTAACTTAGTGTTTTTCAAAAAGAGACTGCTGTTTAACCTGAATGAATCTCTACTTGGTAAAAATTCAGAAAGAAAAGCAAGTAATGTGACTAAAAGATAAAAAAAATCAAGCCGCATAGGAAAGACATCCTGGGAGTAGAAAGGCTACCTGTCTGCAGATGTCAGCCAGAACTGAGGCCCCTTTACAGCTTCCCCCATTCGTTCAATGACAAAGACGCCTATTGCAGCAGCCAGCCGCAAGGCAGATGTGGAGGTAGCTGCTAGTGCATAGCAGCCAATGGGTAAATCAGACATAGCAATGATATCCTTTACATGTGAGACTTTTCAGCCCAAGGAATATAAGCATACAATTGCTTCAAATTTCTCATCAATTAAAAACAATTGGATATGAAGACTGAGTAGGGATATGGCAGATTTTGAAGCAACAGCCTGAGTTCTTCATTAGCCTAGAACATTTTGATTTCCAGAATTCAATGAATTTGAATAACCTGGGGGGAAATTTTTGTTTTCCCGTTCTGGCGCTTGAGGATTGAACTGGTGGACTGCAAGCTGCTGGTACTGAAGATATGATGCTGAGGGGTCCAGAGCCCTTCTGGGGATAATTTTTTGAAATAGTGTTTTGAGGCTCAATTTGTCTCAATTTTCCTTATTTCTATCTATTTCTAAACATTACATATAGCCTGTGCCCTGTGGGTTTTTCTGAGTTATCCGTAATTTCATGACTAACATGCTGTTTTAGTGCCCATTTCTGACATGGACACTCTTATCAACCACCTTTCAAATGGATTGCCACTTTGTTGTTGCAGGAAGTCCATCTGGCCATGCAATGGGCTCATCCTGTGTCTGGTATGTCATGGTGACAGCTGCCCTGGGCCACATGGTCAATCAGATGGATAAGTTATCTAACACTCTGCACAGGTCAGTTTTGCTCCAACTTCTATAGCACTGGGTTATGATAGTTTTAAACACAGGAAATTTTTAAAAAATTCATTCGAAAGAGAATATATATATGTGTGTGTGTGTGTATAAAATGTATATATGTATAATGTATATATGTATACGTGTATATATAAACTGAATCGTTAAGCTGAACACCAGAAACTAACACACTGTAAATCAACTATACATTAATTCAAAATTTTCATTTTAATATATTTTTAGTTGTTGAAATGTGTTTATTTGATTCTATCACACCCAAAATAGCAAAATAAATAGAAAATTAATATTTTGCTTTAAGATAATATTCTAATTAGTTCACAGCTATTGCCACATTATAGAGTTGGAAATGTTTAATTGATTAATGACTTGCTAAATGTGCCTTTCAGTTTCCATAATATAATAATCAGTTTGGGAGCACATAAATAAGTCATCTAAAGTTACAGAAAGAAGTATTTTTGCACGCATGTTCCCTTGCTTTAAGATTAACTAACATTGTAAATGGACTATACGTCAAAAAAAAAGATTAACTAGAAATTGAACTTAAAATTTTTTAAATTTAATTTAACTGCTTTAAGACTAACTAGAATGATGAGAGGTATTATTCCCCTTGAACACATCAGTTACTTGAGTATAACTATGCTTCCTTCTTTGAATAGCCAATGATTTTGATATCAATAACATATATTCTAGCTTTCAAGACTGTGCAACCTTTTTAATTAAAAACATTCTAGAGGCAAACTTAAATTTGAATGTTAATAGATTTAATGTTAGTAGATTAATAATGTTCAGAAAGACCTAGAACTTGAAGATTATTCAAAATTTCTGTAGGAATTGGGCTGTTTCTTTCCTTTCTTTCCTGAAATACTTCATCATTAAAACAATTCTAACTTTAATCATAAATTATTAGGTTCCTTGAGATGTCAGTTAATTGCATAAAAAATACTACAGCACATACCATTATACAAAAGTTCTTAAAAAATTTCTAAGGTTCATTGCCTATTCCACTTTTCAGAGTAATATTGGGTAATATAAGAAGCAAATGATCAAAGAAATTTGGACATCTTTAAAGTTCATTCTAATGAGACAGTGACCTGTATGCCTTAATGTCTTCATTATCCAACCCAAACCAACAATGGTAGAAAGTTGTGTAATTTAAAGAAATTAGTATTTTCTATCCATAGATAATTTTTCAAAGTAGTTTAGATAAGCCTTACCTTTTCTTGTAGTTCATTTTCTCCTCCATTTCCCAAACCTGGAACAATATTTGCTTCTTCTAAAAAAAATTATCTTAACAATTTGATTCATATAACTGCAATATTTCATTCATCCATCAAAATGTATTGAGTGCCTACACCTTATCTTACTGTTACCAAATCCTGCTTCCATATGGATAACCCCTGCTTACCACCTCTTTGAAGCAAAGAAAGTACTTCCTCTTCCTCTCATTTCTATTCTTTAATCTTTCAATAACCACAATTTGGTCCAATTATCAGAAACAAATCATTCAGAACCCTCAAGAATTTCTAGAATGTATTACTGCTATTTCTTTTTTAATTAAAATAATTGGCATCACTTGGATTTTAATGTTTTTATAAGTTTTCTATGCATTGCTGCTTCTGATCCAAAGCATATTAGGTCAATTTTCTGTCCCTTATTTTCTAACATGTCAAAAAATAAGGAGCCAGGACTCTTGAGAGTCTCTGAAATTAAACCCTGCCCTTGATGGAATGCTTGTCTGCTTTTCATCAGAGTGGCAGCTGCCTCTCCAGTGGGTTTTCTTCAAGCAACGAAAGTTTGAGAGAGGAAAGAGGAAGCACATATGAGATGAAATAAAAATATACAGAATTCATTCTTGATCATTGTGGATATTAGTAATTTCCCTAAACTTGAATTTCCCCTACTACATTAAAATCATTATCAGGATGTCAATTTGACTTCTTTTTATAGCATTTACTAAAATCTCAGGGTATAGCACTGGTCAAGTTTAATGCATTGATAACTAGAAACCTCTGTTAAAGTTTTTCAAATCCTATGGAGTACACAGAAACATTAAAAAAACAAACTTCTAGAATCATAATGTTATGTCACAGCTAGAAGATTCCTCTGAGAAATCAGCTGGTGTCACATTCATGCCAACCACCCCTCCATTTTAATGAGTGATACAATTTCTTTGCTTTTTACACTTGTATCTATTCTTCCATCGTAGACTGACCTGGTCATTTCTTTGGAGTCTTTTTTGGTTGATTCAAATCAGTGTCTGCATCTCCAGAGTATTCATAGCAACACATTTTCCTCATCAAGTTATTCTTGGAGTAATTGGTGGTAAATATGATCACTTACCTTTACTTGTGTCATTGGAAAACTTTAGTATCATTTGTTTTATGTTGTCAGATTCTCCCTGCCAATCAGTTCCCCAATCTCAGGTAATTCTACCAAGCCATTGATTCTTAATGCTACCCTGGGAGCTTAAGTGGTTCCACACACCTCTCAAATTCTCCACGTACACAATGGGGCATTCTCACTCAACAGTACAAACGTGTAACGTTACTCTTAGTGAGATGGGTCTCTCTGAAGCGGCTAGAGCTGAGCCCAACTCCCAAACCACCACTTAGGACAGCATGCCTGTGTCTTGGTTTGGGGGACTTAATGGCCTTCCAACCTGCATACCATAGCACTCTCTCTGAAACACCTGAATTGATTGTTACCTGACTATGGACTTCATTCAACAGCTGCTTTGTATTTCCAAAGCAGCATTCACTGTGATTGAGTTTCAGCTGTTCAGCCCTGTGTACCTTTCAAAGGCGCTCTAAGTTAATTGGTTATGACAATTGAAATGTTAATTGCAAGCACCTAGATCAGGATTCTGCCTATAGAGTTCTCACTCAGTGCCCTGGACTCCTGAAAGATCCCCTTGTGCTAATATGGGTGGTGAAAACACCATGGGGCAAGTGTGTGTTTTTAATTATTGCCCATAAAAAAAGGCTTTGGAAAATAGCTAGAACCTAGGTTTCTAAAGCCCTTTATCATTGAAAACTATGGCTAGATTCTTTAATGCAGAGAAAAATGACTCCCGCAGGGCTCAAGGGCACACGGTCATCCGCAGTGTCTCTAATTCCCAGGCATGCTTGTGGCAGAGGCCTCTGAACACACTCCAAGCATCCAATCAGCCAGCCTGAGCACATACCTGAAGACCAACCTCTTCCTCTTCCTATTTGCACTTGGCCTTTACCTGCTTCTTGGACTGCTTGACATTGACTTGCTGTGGTCCGTGCCCATTGCCAAGAAGTGGTGTGCCAATCCCGACTGGATCCACATTGACACCACACCCTTTGCTGGACTCGTGAGAAACCTCGGGGTCCTCTTTGGCTTGGGCTTTGCAATTCACTCAGAGATGTTCCTGAGGAGCTGCCGAGGGGAAACCGGCTATGGGCTGAGCTTCCGGCTGCTCTGCGCGGGGGCCTCGTTGACCACGCTGCAGCTCTACCATTTCATCAAGATCCCAACCCACGCAGAGTATTTATTTTATGTGCTGTCTTTTTGTAAAAGTGCATCCATCCCACTGACTGTGGTTGCCTTCATTCCCTACTGTATGCATATTTTAATGAAACCAAGAGAAAAGAAGATTAATTAGACTTGTGCAGAGGGTTTGTGCCTTGTGGTCCCAGGATGACCCTCCTCCTCCATCCTCTGGCACAACCACAGAGCAGCGAGAGACTGGAGGCTTCCATTTGGAAGTCACAAAATGGAGGCCACAGCCCCAACCCACCCACATGTTTCGTTTGGCCTTCCCTGTGGGTCCCCGTCCCCCTTTTAAAATTAGTTTCCAACTTAAATGTTTTTAAATAAACCAAGATATTTGACCAAAAAAATCCGAATTTCTGTATTTTCTTGAAAAATCTGATTATATGGTAACACGAGGACTGCATTCCCACCTGGAGACAATCCACCGTTGCTGACTGTCCCCAATAGAAGACACGCACTCTCCATGCTGTCACAATTTTCAGAACCCCACAGGACCCCTAGTGTCAGATAACTGTATCATCTTAAATTCAGGCTGCTTCTGGCTCCTGTGAGCATTTCAATGGAAGTCAAATCTGAGCCCCTCAGTTTTGAGATAAGGAAATGGAGGTTTATTCAGGTGAAAGAATTCCCTGCTGTCACCACCATCAGTATAGGATTTAGAACGCAAGTCTCCTGATGTGTATTTCCATTACACATGTTTTGTTTCTTCGTGAGGTAAACATCTGTAAGAATGAATGCTTTTACATAGATTCTATGATGTTTGCTATGTGAATCAGCTATTTTCCCCCCAAATGACATTAACATACCACATCCTGTTTGACTTACACCATACATCCATGGTTGTGATAAGGCCGGCAATAGCTCCAGTTAAGAGTACATACCCACAGGCAAGGAAACCGGTCAGTTACTGTCTGAACTTGAATCTCTGCTTAATTCTTGGTCTCTGTTTTATGGTAAGTGCTTTCCAATATTTTAATAAATGCTGCTGAAAATGCTCTGCTCAGAACATTATTTACCCCCAAAGGCTTATCTCTTCACTATGACATCTCTATCCTTTATTTTTAAGAGCCAATCTTTCAGAACCAGGGGAATGAAGTACCTTCCTCAAGGTCAAACTCCAACCCAGGAAAACTGTGAAATGCTTCTATCTGTTAGCTGGGTTAATCTGTATATACTGAACTGTGATGAAAATCTATCGTTTTACTTTAGAAAATCATTACTGAGGAATTATTAGCTTACTAAATATTTTTTAGTCAAGTTTCTTTTTTCCTTCTTTGGACCTACTAATTCTGGACTTAAAGTTGGTAACTATGACATCTCAATCAAGTACATTTTGAGTCAGTTTTGCTACATACCTTAGTGACCTGGGATCCACCACAATGTTAATGTAACTCTTCTCAAGAATATCAATACATGAATTATTTTAGATGATACCATATTAAATGCTCCAAAAATATTTACAAAATCAACGGTCCAAGCCAGAGCTGAAGTGATAAAATCTTAGTAAAGGCTAACAAAACTTCTCAAAATCAAAGCAATTACTGGTCCTTTTCTAAATATGTTTATAGCGTATACGCTGTTGCTTTTACAAAACACACTTAACAGCTTTTTTCAAAAAGGTAATTGAACTGAGTTTCAGTGGTTGAGCGATTCCTAAGCAAGAAGCTGAGGGATGAAGAAAGATTATCTAAAGAATGAAAAGAATGAAATTTGTCTGATGTTGATGGGACGTATGGGGTGAAAGACAGAAGAATGATTCTTAAGATGTTGACATTTATTTGTTGTTCCAAGCCCCTCTCCCAGCATCGTCCTTAGAAGGTCACTTCAGTCTTTTCATCCTTTCTGATTCATGTGCCTTATCACACACTCTTCCACACCTGTCAGAGATCTCCCTCCTGTGTAAGAGCACTTTGTCAGAGTTCCACTGGAAATAAGCAATGTTCATTTTGAAGAATCATCCATCCCAATACAGTATCAGCCTGCTCTCAGCAAGACCTGAGGAAACTGGGGCACTAACAGCCAGGGGGTTCTGCTATGATGCTTGACTCCACTGTAAATCCCTTCTCGGTCCCCAGAGAGCTCTCTGCAGCCACCCCACAGTGGGTGCTGTCTGTGGGGTGACACATCACCCTCAGAAGGGGAGTAGGAGGAGGCGTGAGCGCATTTTCTATGATTAATCTCCACCAGCTCTACCCCTATCTGCTGTTAAGCCCTGAAGTCCTCCTGTGATGAGATTTCCCTCTACTCCAGTTGAAGTCTCCTGGAGGGATCCATCTGGTGGCAAATGCCTTTTGCGATTGAAGCTGCTTAGGTAGCCAGAGGAAGAGCTTCTCACAGTCTTGGAGAAAATGCCTGCCTTTAATAATGATGGGAAAGACTCTTCTTTCTATTCAGTTGCCAAAACTCAGTGGAACTGAGCTCATTTGACTTACTGTGACTACAGCCATATATTCAAAGTGTTTATACATCTGCATATATTCAGAGGGAAAGTGTCAATATCATGAGCTTTCAGGATGAGAAACTCTAGACAAGTGACTCGAGAAACTGTCTAATCAAGCATACAGTTGAAAAGAAATGCAAAGGAATTTATTATTGCTGAAACTAGCTATCAAGAAGAGTGTTGAATCCTTTTCCTTTGACAACAAATTAAATGGACATCTGCATTAGAAGGTTAAGTCGATGCCTTCTCTGATCTATTTTGGTCTAACAGAAAGGTGATTTACAAAATTATTATAAGATGCCCTTGAAATGCAAAGTCATGTCTCTAAATGTTTATGTTTATGCACAATCTGTAAATAAATTCAAGGTCAAATTGGTACATACACATACAAAAAAAACGTGGCATAAGAAAAAATCAAAAGACTTGGTTTTAAAAATGTGATTCATTTCTTAAGAGCATTAAAGCCCCATCTTCCAGCACCCTTCAACTGGACTTTTTACAATGCTGGAAATGTTCTTTATCTGTGCTGCCCAATATGGTAGCCAGTGGCTACTAGCCACCTGTGGCTACTGAGCTCCTGAAATGCAGCTAATGCAACTAAGGAATTACACTTTTAACTTTTATTTACTTTTAATTAATTTAAATTTAAATAGTCATATGTCTGTACCTACTGAATTGGACAACACAGATCAAATCCCACAGTGCTTTTCTCTTAAAAAAAAAGTATTTTTTAAAAATATTGTCCCCTATACCACGTTCCTGTGAGACAACATGAATCAGTATTAACTGCTTTCTTTTATATAAAGAAATTGAAGTATTAGTGGTTTGTGGGCAGAACATGGATAAGGTATATTTACTCCAGCCTGGAGATCTTTTGATTAGCCCAGGGATATTTTTTTCCAGATTGAAAAAAAAAAAGTTACTGTCAACAAGGTGTAAAATATGCTTGTTGATAGTAAATCTTATTGTGATCTTTACACTTCTTAAAATAAAAATTTAACTCGTGTAGTTACTGACACTAAACATTTCTGGGGCTTGAAGGATTAAAGAGACTATAACAAGTTAATAGTAAACTGTGCTGCATTTTCGAGATGCCCTCTGCAGGTCTGGGAGTCTCTCTCTTGCAGCTTTCTTCTTACTCGGTCCTGTGAGCTCTAGCTGTCTTGGTCTCCCAGGACTCTGAGTTCTGTTGCCCCAAACCAGGTAGCCTGGGTTCCCTGTCCCTGCACTATACCCCAAAAGCCCTTGAAGGACCACAGAACTGAGTGGAATTTTACCCAATATTCATGACCACCTTCTGGATAGCGGCATGAACTCTGAGCAAGTTTCCCTGCTTGTCTGGGTCTATCATACCTGTATGCTAGACACCAGTACTTCTGAGGATGTTCAGAAACTGTTCAGCAGAGGTCACTGGCATCTAGTTGCACCTGCGGATTTGGCCCTCATTGACTGATTGTCCTAGCCACTCTGGAAATTGCAAACAGCTTCCTGGAAAAATACCTGGACCTCAACATTGCCAAGAAACTAAGGCGGTGTTTCTAATTTTTCCCTCCCCTTACTTTTAATGCTTTGTGATGGTGATTCCTCACTGAAAGCAAAGTGGCACTACTTAATTTTTTTTGTCTTCATTTTGTTTTTCTTAAAAAAAGCGTTAACAGCAGGAAAGGTCTATAAGAAACAACAATTCCATATCTTGTAGTAAACGCTAATGAAAAAGACTATGAAAAGGAATATATGTATGTATATGTATGACTGAAGTATTATGCTGTACACCAGAAATAGACACAACATTGTAAACTGACAATACTTCAGTTTTTTTAAATTTAAAATAAATAAATAAATAGACAGATAGATAGATAAAATCCTCCCCTCAAAAGTAACAACTCCAGAAATTTCTGCCAAATGACAGCAACTCATGAGAAAATTCTAAGCATTAGAAGTGCTTACTTTCAGCTCCACAGAGGACAAATGCAATTGATGTTGAATTTGAGGCAGGTTTGGTGTGGAGCACTAATTACTGTCTTCGCTATTCTTTGATGGAGATCACGGTCATGACTGGGAAGAAATCACATCTCGTCTCTTTTGGCAGCACAGATGTGATTGTTCCCAAAGAGAAGAAATTCAAAGATTGAGGTTATAAAGGTCACCATAAAACTGATTAATTGTTTTCTGTTTTAAACTTTTAAATTCCTTACAATCTTTTCTTCAAACATTTTACCATGTGGTTTCTGAATCTGTCTTCTGTTCAAAAACTGTGATATTTCCCCGAAGAACACTGCATTCTGAGAAGCTGTCAGGACTGGGGAAGGAGCCAAGAGAAGGGCCCAGCTGTGGTCCTGCCGGGTGCGATTTGTGGCACAGACAAGGGGCTGCCAACAGGAGCGTTTGCTCTCACCGACCTCGGCCCAGCTCTGGTGCTGGCCTGAGTGAGAGCAGAAACCATGGCCCTGGAACAATTTGAGCGCTCTGCAGGAGCAGCAGGCGGTGCATGTGCCTGGAAAAGGAACCCAGAGCTAATGAAGATGAAGAGCTCCCTTCCTCCTCCAGCTCTCCCCTACCTTGCACATCAATTGGGCCAATCACATCCCCAAGTTCTGTTCAAAGAACTGACTTCTTCCTGGATTCAGTCTGCCTCTTACCAGCAGTACTGGACACACTGTCACCTTGCTCTCATGCTCTGCCATTGATGGGAGGGGTTTCCTAAGGGTGGGCACTGGGCTCATGCCTCACTGCCTTTCTTAGATACCACTTTGCCCTCAAGCTCAATAATTTGCTTTGAAAGCATCTGATCCTCTAGATCTCTTTTTTCTACAGAACCATTCCAAACTCTGCCTTTTTTTTTTTATAATTTTTTCAATTAAAGAAGTTGTACAGGCCCTGCTGTCTTTCTATTTGAAGTTTGCATTGACATAACAAGGAAGAAGTCAATGTGCCTGTTTGAGTTAATGAGATTTTTTGGTGCATCTTATTCTTTTAGCACTGGAATGTTGATGTCCTGCTTGTGCTGGTGCCAGCGTCCCTGTGTGGATCCCAAAAGGTGTCAGAACTCAAGGGGGCAGGTGCTAGCAAATTCAAAGGCAGGCAGATGTATAAAAGACTTCGTGGAGTTTGGCAGCGGGAACCATGGATGGAGTCCTTACACCTGTGTTCTAATCTGTCCCTGTGTCTATCCACTGGATGCTGGGAGGCCATTTAATGTTGGTGGCCTCAGTTGACCAGTTCCTCAAATGACGGGCTTAAATGGGCTTAGAATGAAAGGTTCATTCCAGCTCCAACATTCTGCAACTCTGATGATCTCATTCAATAAAACTGGAAGAAGAACTAGAGCATATTACATTTTACTTACATGCAATGAACAAGGCTGTAAATTCTAAACTGTAC